CAGTAGTTGAAGACACATATGTAAGTGAGTTCGCCCAGAGAGGACAGAACTCTTGGGAATACCAAACTGTGAATGGAAAGCTAATGAAGAAGACACAGAAAGGACACTAAAAGTTAACAACCAAGAAAAGGATTGTGGGCCACTGATAAGTGAAGGGAAATGAGAGCATTTCCAGAAGATAGTGATTAATGATGATTAATGATGATTAATGCTTTAGGAAGGTGGAGCTGGATGAGGACTGAAAAGAACAGAAAAGTCCCTGATGGAAAGAGCGTGAGTGAATTCATGGATTCCCTACTAAATTAAACACCATAAACTGGGCCAGTGAATGTTCAGCTGCACAGGTAGAGAAATTGAGAAGTTGAATTGTAAAATTTCTCTAGGGTTGAGTTTTTTTCTGAGCACATACAGGAGAGAAATCAAAGAATAGAATAATGAAGATACAGGTAAGGGTTTCTTCCAGGCAGTCAGACAAAGGAGTAGAGGAAATTTGCTCATCAGAGTGCTCAAGAAAAATCTCAATGAATTTTGAGTAATCACCATCAAAAGGCTGTGAAAATGACAGATTATTTTCAAAGAAAGTGAAACTAGAGTTTTAATCAGAAGTTTCATCAGAAGCAATGACATTTCTTGTATGAATCTTGAACCTTCTATTCCTGAGTCAGAGGGATTCTCTATTACCTTTTCTTACGGAAAATAGGGAGAAAGAAATGTTAAAAGTGTAACAACTTCATACTAGTTTGAGGCAGACATAAAGATTTATTTGATTATTGAGCAATTAAATAAATACCATCTGCTTCTTCCTTATCACAATGTTATCTTAAACTCTGGCCTAAAAGATTAACCTTGGACCTTAAAGGCCCAATACTTTCTAAATGAATTGTGGATAACACCCTCTTAGTCCACTATTACAGAGTTGTTGGGAGTTAACGTGTGTAAAGCAAAGTAAGTTAATACATGTAAAGCATATGGTCAGTACACAATAAACATTTGTTGTTTTTTCTTAATCCTCTTACCTTTCCCCTTTAATTAACCCACACAACAGGATATGAGCCGCAGAAGTTAAGCAAAGGCAAGAAAGAGCCTAGGGTTTGAATCTATAGGTTCGGGTATCAGAATACCTGGATTCAAATCTATGTTATCTCAGACAAGTTACTTAATTACATAATACGTGCCTCAATCTTCTCTGTAAAATTAGATAATAACAGTATCTCACACTGTTCATGTGAGGATTAAAGAAATGATAGAGTCAAACACTTAAAACAGTACCTGGCACATTGAGAAAACCTAGTAAGTAATAGCCATTATTCACAAAGAATTACTTCTTACTGAATCCAGGCTCTTTTACTGCATAAATACATAGCTTCTGGGCCAGAATTAAATCATTTTTCTTACTGAAAATCATTACCTTATTACCTCTTAGTTTTTGGTGGCAACAACTAAGCCAGCAAAATTTTTACTCCAAAGGTTAATACAGTCCTAGCTAGTGAGGAAAACAGTCATGAATTTACATCCTCATTGAAAAGGACATTTAGAATTTATTCCAGCTTAAGGATAGCGCAGTAAATAAGGTCACAGAAGAAACATACTTGATTTTGATCCACATGTTGGTGATATTTGGCCACTGGAACAAGTACACATGTTAGGACGGGAACAAAATCCATCTCCACAACTATTTCTACAAATTGCTGTAGAAAGCACAACAGGGAAGCAAATGAGTAATAAGGTAATAAACCATAGTTTACAACACAAGAAAGCTATAGTTAAAAACAACAAACCTGAAAAACTAAGATATAAAATATGTGATCTATAAAATCTAATTTCAGATATGCAATGAAAGTACCCATGAGAACAAGTCTCACGAGTATCTTCATGATAATGTGCCAACCAATGAAGCTATTTCAAGTTCCATCATCCTAATCCTTTAACTCTCCTATCAACACAGGTCATCTTTTTCCATTCAAGGCAAAGTTTATATGCAGAATTCACCCTGAGAAGATAGTCTTGGCCCTAGGAACTGGGAGGGTTGAGGAGACCCAGAGGCCCTGCATATGCTCAGAAAACACAGCCCACTCTGTAAAGGACCTTCACAGGAGGCAGAAAATGTTAAATTGGCTGAGCCAGAGACTCCAGGCCCTAACAATTTAGCCAAGCCTCAGGGGTTCAGTGCACATTCCTTCCCGGCTGGTATCTGACCTGCCCCATCATCAATCTTTGTTCCCCTTAATAATTCCCTCTCTCTTTCCTCCAGCCATTCTTCTCCCATATTATCTCCACAACCTAGCCTATTCCTGCTGCTCAGAAAAGCTGCTGCGACATTTTGATGGAGGGAAAGTCACAGCCTCCTGCAGTTGTGACCTCCAAGGTATGAGGGTCATCACGGCCAAGAATGTTAGGCTCACTGACACAGCACATACCATGGATCCTCACAATCGGTGGCTGAACACATTCAAATGGGGAGGCTCTCCCATACTCTGAGTCAGTTCATTTAGGAGCCGAGAGATTTATCTCTATATCCACAACTGAATTTTCTCTTTGTGCACAGAAGCTATGTGCTTTAAGGCTCCATGACTGGATGCATGAAGGCCAGAAGAGGAGAGTCTGGGAATGCCCTGAAACTAGCTGTAAACATTTATGCGAATATGCGTACTCGTGTGTCTTGTGCTAGGGATGGAGCTCACAGCTTTCAAAGGGATCTGAGACACTCCCCCCCCGCCCCGAATAATGTAAAGGCTGTGTTCTATAAAAGCAAACTAACCCAGTAATTGTTTCTCTTCTCTAAACTGCCTTTTGACATCCACATAATATAGCCAGCAATGTCACAGATCATGGTGTGCAGAGAGAAAACTGCTTTTCGGCAAGAACATGGTCCCTACCATGGAGCTGACGATTCTTAAAATGTACTCGAGTTTCTGATCACCAGTAACTTCTCCATGACAAATGTTCACTAAAACAATGTTTTAATTCAAAGCCCCTCGCTCCCAGCAGGTAGACATTTAGTCTAGGTGTTGGTGATACACAAAGTGCTCCTACCCAGGTCCTAAACCCAAAGAAGATCTGATGGGCTAGAGATGCGTTATCCTCAGACAGATCCCGATCATGGCCACAGACGTGCAGCCGTGTCTACGGGCCAGTGAGAAGCAAGAGTGCTTAGGCCTTTGTCCTCACACACATCTCAAGGCTATGGTATGCCTCGCCTAAATATGTGCCCCTCCCACAATCACACAAAACCAGGAGACCCAGAAATACTGCAGGGAGAGAGAGAGAAGACCTGGGGGCTGGGGTTCCAGAGATGCTGGAAGATGCGTGGCACAGTAAAGACTGCATGGTATGCAGGAAGTCTGAGGTTGAGTTCTTGTTCTGCCACTAATCCACCAAAAGTTTGGGGTAAAAAAACAAAAACAAAAAAACACAACTTCTCTGGGTTTAGTTTCTTTGTTGGTAAAATAAAACAAAGAGATTACACTGGAGTGTTCTGTTGTCTCTTCAGGTCTCAAACACTATGATTCTGAGCCAACCCCTTCCCACGGTGATTCCACTGATCAAAATGCCCTTTGTATCATAATTTCACAGTAAGTAAATTAATAAGCAACCTTGCCCATTGCTTCATGTTCTAACAAGACTTAGAAAAAAAAAAAAGAAAAGTGAGAAAGTCAATTCTATCCTTTTTGACACCAATATCTGGAAGCTTGGTAGTACTTCAGCGATCTTCGCAGCCAACAATTAAGAACAATAACAACAAAACACAGAGACTGAAAACAAAATGCATTAGGTTTCCAGTAGTTTGAGAAGTATGTTTTTCTTTTAATGTCTTCTTTTCCTCATGAAGCCTGGTCAAGGCCAAACATGAACATTTTAGAAGGTGCTCATTTTAATATCTTTCTATAGAGAAGGAATGCTGATGTACAAATATAGGAAAAATTAATCTTTAGTCTTCATTTTCTATTTGTATTTTACTTATCCTTTGTTGGTATGTGGCCTCATAGCTTTTCTTTTTTGAAATGGTGTAAAGTCAATAAATATAATAAATAATTTATTATCAGAAAATCCTGGAATCAAAATTCTTGGTTTTAACTACTGTGGTTTCGATTTGGTTACTACCTCCATATATTATCATTTTAAATGTCAAAATAAATAGGCTACTGAATTTAATGCAGAATATTAATAGTTAAAATTTAGGTGAGATTCGTACAAGAGATTATAAAGGCATTACATTCTCCCTCTATTTTATACTCTTGGGTATCTGAAATATTTTTAAGCGTGGTAATTAATATTTTTGTAGATATCTCCTGACACAAGTGTAGCAAATGTTTCTTGGAAATATAAAGATCATTTCAAGTCTGTGTTTTTTATAGATTTATGATACATGTACATTCCAATGTATCTCAAAGGCACCCAGATGTTTCAAGTAGTAGAAATGCAGGCTACAACATTCACTGTTACTCTGAAATGTACAAAGCTGATCTTCTAAACAAGTAAAGAGCACAATGTTATTCAAAGACCAAAAGTATTTAAAGCTGACACTCAGAGGGCCATATATTGGGTTGTCGGAAAAGTCATGACGCATTTTTGCAACAAAAAACATAGAAAAAACATGTCATGACTTTTCTGACAACTCAATACATAATATATGTGTGTATGTGTGTGTATGTGTGTGTGTATAATGTCTCATATATATGTGTGGGTATATATATATTATATACGCACGCACACACATACGTATATGTATGTATATATGTATATTTCTACTGCGAATATTCTGGAAGGCTCTGTTCTCTGGAATTCCCATTCCACACTGATCCAATAAAACCTGACTTTACAGATTTTCAACACGTACCATAAACCAATCCTTTCTCCTCGGCTGCTCTCCAACTCAATAATGGCAGTCACATTCATTACATTTAGTGAGTCAGACTTTCCGCAGTGCCTAAGTCACTCCCAGCTAGTATGGCAGGTGTGTGGTGAGTGACGTTAGCTGTTTCAGGATTGTAGGGACCATGTAAGTTTAAGCAGGCCTGGAAATGCCCTACTGGCCTGAAGGAGTAAATGCACCCTCCATAAATGCTTCACACATATGACTTCTGTGTGAGAGAGAAAAGAATGCAATACCTCTTTCTTTTTAATAAAAGCAAAAGTTTATAACGAAAGGGTATGCTTAAACTATTTATGAATCACCTTAAAGAACAGTTGTTGTTTCCTATTTTTGCCTCATTACTGGAGACTGGGGGATTTTTAGGACAGAAAAAATAAGAAACTAGTCTCCACAACACTTGAGATTTTATTCCTTTTTAAAAACTGTACTGAAAAATGCATTAAGGGTTGATCTCAAACCCACAAAACCAATAAACATAGAGTCAGAGATGCCACTACATCCTTATTATCCTTTGGCTAGTGGGGCTTGCCCTTTTTCTATGTTCACAATTGCACAATTATCTTTTTCCTGGAGAACATCAAGGTCAATTTAAAGTCAAGATTGGCCCTAAATGAATATACCGCCTGTGATACCTGGCTCTCCTCCCAACAAGACAAGTGTGGCCGTACTATATAAACACACTGGAGAAAGCCAGTCACATTTCAACTCACGAATTCACAGGCATGTGAAATAAGGCATCCTATAGTCCATCACTGGGAAGCTGGTAACTAAAGGCTTCTCCAATTAGAACTTGGAGAGCTGTGTACACACTTTGGAAACTGAATAAAATTATCAAAACTTTTAAGGTCAGATATAAAGAACTTCTGAAGTTCTAAGACTCACTATACTCTATGAGATTTTTGGTTCTTAAATCCTAAATGTAAATGTCTCCAAAAAATAAAAGTCATTTGGAAGAGTTCTCTCTTATAAAAATTTTGTTAACCTGGGTCAAGCCTAAATCCCTGAGTGCTTCTTTCATATCTAATGTTATGTGGCTGTTGAGATGAAACCAGAGATAATAAAGTGGTTTTGTACAAAGGCCTAAGAAAGCTTGATCTTCCTAAGGCCTAAACCTCATGCAGAGTCAAAAGCCAGTTAATTTGCATAACCACATTGTGGTCTTATCTGGACTCTTTTAGGAAAAAGTGGTTTTGAGTTATCTGGGAAACTGCTGTACTCCCCCATCAGTTTGTATTAATAGACATAGAAAGATAAAACTTCCAAGTTATCTTTGAAACCTTTATCGTTATTGCCCTTCAACAGAGTCTGGAAGTGAGGTCTAAACTAACGCAAACCGGCTGCTTCTTCCCCACCATTCAAATGGGGCCACGTCCTGAGTATCACCGCTATGTGGACACTGGATTCTAAATCAAAGGACTGAATACAAGAGGTTGGACCCGAGATGGGGCCGAGAGAGCTGCCCCAAGCTGCGAGCGATCCCGGGCAATCACTCACGGACAATGCATTGGTTTCCTCCAGGGAGCGTCTTCCATCCTGGACAGCAGTAGGAGTGGAACCTCGATCCGCACACGTTGGGCCTGCGATGGACAAGCGACGTCATACACGTGTAAGGAAGGGTGCAGTAACATATTAGCGGTTTTCGTAAGCAAAGCCGTGAGAATAGATTTCGGGACAACAAACAAACCAAAACTACACTTCATATGTTTGGGGGCGCAGACATGGAAATAAATGGGCTAGACACTGGAATGGGGGAGGGTGAGAGACGTCTAAACATTACCTTTCATCTGCCCTCCGTTGCTGCCTTTTTAACGGGCGAAAAAGAAACATGGAAACATATCATTTGCTAGGATTCTAGCCTCCGGATGCAGAGAACAAAGGGAACATTCTGTTTCAAAAATCCTTGCTCTTGTCCCCAAGTCCATACCTACTTGATCAACTATAACTTGGGCCCCGAAGTGTCAAGGAAGACGTGTCCAAAGGTGGAGCGCACGGGTTGGTGATTAGAGTGAGCTGTAAGCCCCGCACACGTACTCAAACAAAAGACTCGGGAGCGGCGCCCCCGACGGTGGGGTGCAAACAGGCTCCACCAGCCCGGGCGCGGGGTGGACTCAAACCCGCCTTCCACCCGACATTCAGAACCAGTTCGCGCACCACGGGCTTTGCATACGCTCTGCGATCCGCACCCGGGGGCCTCCGACCCACTCGCCGCCAACCTCCCCTAGGGGGGGCTTCCTTGCCGGCGGACTTGCGGAGGAAAAGAGGGAAGCGCTCTTAGGAGTCCGGGGTCTCCTAGTGGTGGGAGCCGCGGCTCTAGCCGCCAGAACTAGGTTCAGGGAGGGCGTAGGATGGAAAGCTGCCAAGCTGAGGTTCCCCGGATGCGGCCTGCCCACCTACCCTCGGAGCACGTCCTGCTGTCCTCGCCTGCGGACGCGGCTGGCCGCCGCGGTGCCCTCCTCCCGGTAGTCGGGCACCGCGAACCCGCCTTCAGAGCCTGCCGCCGCCGGCCGGACCTGTTGCGACGGCAGCTGGGGCCGGGGCAGCTTGGGCGGCGGAGGCTGGGGCTGGCCGGCAGTGCCCTGCGCCCAGAGCGCCACGCAGCCCAGCCACACGAAGTACGGCTGGAGACACAGCCGCCGCCGTCTCCCCATCGCGGGCGCCAAGAGCGCGCGGACCGTGGTCCGCGGAGAGGGAGCGCTCAAAGACAAAATCTGCGCGGCCCGGAAAAAGTCAGGGTCTAAAGAGCTCTTCGTCGGCTCCCGAGACTCCCTTGGGCTCGGGCTCCCTGCTCTAGAGGGAGCCCCGGACCGAGCGCCAGCCCTCTGGCCGCCGGTGGGGCACGGGCTCTAGCGCAGCGGGCGGCGAAGCGCGGCGGCGGTGCGGCCGGCAGCCCCGCGCGGTCCACGTTGCATCCCCCGGGCCACGGCCCCGAGCGACTCCAGGACCGCCAGCGGGCGGGGGCGGGAAATTACAAAAGTAACCCGAGCAGCCGCGGCGTAAAGTTACAAAGAAAGCGGACCTCAAAAGAAAAAAAAAGGGCCTGCACGCAGCGGCTCGGCGGATTCCGTGCGCTGCCGGCACAGATCTTGGAAAGCCGCAAAAGTCACCCGAAAGAAGCCGGCAAGCAAACAAAAGTCGCCCCCGAAAGGAGAGGGGGTCTCCTCCAGGCTCGCCCGGAGTCCCGCGGGGGCAGCGACGCGCCTGCGACGGCTGAGGAGCCGAGCGGAGGTGCGCGGGGCCGAGGCGAGCCGCCGGTGAGAGGGAGGGCGGGAGGCTGGGCTCCGGCAAAGATGCGGCGGGTGAGGGCGCGGCGCGGGGGTTTTGAGGCCCGGCGGGGCGCGGGGCGGGCCAGCGGGCGGCGGCTGTCAGTGGGGGCTGGAGCGCGGCAGTCCACACGTGGGGCGCAGCCCGGACCGAGGGGCCGGCGCAGAATGGGCGGGGACAGAGTAAGGGGGCGATTGGGTGGGAAGGAACAAGGGGAGCTGGGACCTGGGGGAGGGGAAGAGGAAGGAAGGGGGCAGGGTGAAGGGAGGGGAGAGGACCGAGATTGGGGAGAAGGGGGGCGAGCCCGAGAGGAAGGCCAGGACTGGAAGAGGGGTTTGGAAAGAGGGATTGGCGAGCCCGGGTGCGAGAGGAAATGAGCGGGGGATGGGGGCGAGGTTAGGGCGAGGAGAGAAGTGGGAAAGGGGAGG